AACTGAAAAATTGCCATCCAGGCTCCTGGAAGAACATTTAAATTAAAGCTTTCCTAAGAACAGATTACCCCAGGCCAAACCAGGAGATGACAAGCCAAGGACCTGAAACTAGGCTTCACTCAGCAGCAAGCAGGCTTTTTTCCCTACTTGCTGTAACTACCAGAAGTATGAAAAGAATATAAACACTGCAGTGAGACCTCCTAAGAATCCATAAGCACCTCTCATTCACCATGAGTGTAAACTGCATTTTTACTCTGTGTACTATTTTGTCTCAGTTTTTATTTATAAACCCTTACTGACAGATTTGGTGTTCCAAAATCTGCTTTTCTTATGCATAGCTTCATATTTTTCCTTAGGGGACCTAAATGGCTAGAAATTTATATCGGGTACAAATTATGAATATTTTACAATAAAAACACCTATAGAAAAGTGTTGAAAATTCAATACTAGATACCAACAATTTTAAGCCATGCTCTATTTCTGAGCCAGAATTAATACTATAAGTACATATTACTGTTTGTAAGTGTCTGGCAAAAGAAGAAAAGCCACCATCCTCACATCAGATGCTTTCCACCTACACTGGAAATACATAAAGGGATTTTACCAACCAGATTGTTTAAGCACACAGTCTAGGGAGCAGAGTAGTGAGCTCACATGAAAGCTAACAAATGTTCCTCTTCTGGGGACCAGAATTGGATTAGAGAGAAAAAATAAAGCCAAGGCTCTGCTTCATAAAGCTGACAAGCAAGCTACTTCAACTTTCCAAAAATAAGAAAAAAGATTGCTTGTAAATGAGAAATGCTAAAGAGAGCCATAACGTCCTCCTCATTGTAATTGTATAGGGTGCATGACCTGTTGTCCTTACACACCCACCTCTAAGTATGGTCATAAGGAAAAATCTCAACATCATGTTCTAAAAATGAATTTATCACTCACAATGTCGTGTGTGTGTGTGTGTGTATTACACAGTGACACTGAATAGGAAGGTAAAGAATCTTTTCTCTAAAACACAAGGTTTGTCTTTTTATTACATACTCCACTGACAAATACATGGGATCACTAAATTTTAGAAACATATACCAAGAGGTAAATATCATCTTCTCACTACAAGCTCCATAAAGACAGTGATTTTTATTTTGTTTGTAAACTTCTGTACCACCAGCACCTAGTACAGTCACTTGGAATATAGTTTGTTGAATGAGATTTTGAACATGCCTTATAGAGGGGAAGGTAATACCATTATGAAAATATGAAGTACCCATCTTTTCCTGCTTTCTGGATCAGGACCTATCTTAGCACAGTTTGTGCTGCTATAACAGAATACTGGAGAATGAGCAAGTTTTAAAGAACAGTGATTTATAAGACTACAGATCTATTTGTTTCTTTTAGTGTTCTGGAGACTAGAAAATTCAAGTTCCAGGGGCCTGCATCTGGTGAGGGCCTTTTAGCTGCATCATCCTACAAAGGCAGTGGGGAAAGAGAGGATATGTGCAGATACAGGAGAGAAAGAGGAAAAATGAAAGCATGAGAGGGCTGTATTTATTTGTTACAACAAACCTATTCTCAGAATAATGGACCCACTCCCACAGTGATGCCAAAACTATTACGCTCTGATTTACTCTTTGAGGTTCCATCTCTCAATACTGCTGCACTGGGAATTAAGTTTCCAACAATAGGGACTTTGGGGACACAAACTGGATCAAGCTCCAAATGTAAGTCTGGTTTGCCTGATGGCCTGGAGAAAATGCCTTATTTTATATAGGGCATCTCATGTTCCTGCTTATGCCCTTCCCTCCACTGTAAACTTAAAGAATCTCTCTCTTTCTTTTCTCTGCCTGCTTTCCCAAGTGGTTATCAAAGCCCAGTACAATGGTGACTATCTCGTAGAGAATCTTCAAGACTAATAGGTTTTGAATCCATGTCTTGTTTTACCTGGGCTTCCCCTATGAGTAATAATAATTGGCATGACTGTAACATTGGGGAAACTTTACTTAAATATATTGGGCTTTCTTCCTGTCTATCCCCCAGTTGTCGTTTGCTGTTCTGATATCCCATTCTTCCTTGCCTTTCCTGGCCTTATCTTTCACAGGTTGTAAGTTTATTATCAGCACTTCCGGCCCAACCCCACTGTACTCCACACTGCTAAATTATCTTTTCTGTGACTACTTCTCAAGGTTTAAATGACTCACATCTTATAACTAAGGAGATGGTTGACGCCAGCGGACACACTAGAGATCTGATAATCAAGGAATCTCGTTTCTAGAAAAGGGAGGTCACTATCCTGTTTCATGAACTTGATTTACTCAAACTCCCTGGATCCGTTCATCTCATGTAGGTGTTTCTAGAACAGTGTTCTGTAAATGTAAATGTATGTTCTGTAACATGGGCCCAGATATGTCTTTGGAATTATATTTACTAAGGAATTACTTACTATACGTCACCTTCTTGAAAACTGTCTGAAGTAAGAACAAATTATTCTTCTCTATCTGAGGACTGACTTTTTAGGAGGTAAGAATAGCGTGTTGGTACTTCCACAGGGAGCATATGAGGAATCACTATTTGAACTTTCTGGGGAGCTGGGTGGAGTTTTATCTCCAAAGCTAGATGTTGGATATACAGAGAGGAGGTCAGGATTTCTACCTTTGGGCAGAAAAGATCAAATTGGAAGAGATATAAATGGATATAAGGTGGCAATTGTAGAGTAAAGGTTTTCTCAGATCACAATGGACATAAGACTGAGAAGCAAGTCAATCTGCTCAGAGAGAGGGCAGGCAATGAGGACGAGAAGGCTCTGAAAGTGAGGCGCCATTGGGAGTAGGCACTGAGGGATGTTTGCAGGAATCCAGCAAATGCAGAAGGCGGGAAAGGATATTTCAGGAGAAGGAACAACATGACCTACAGGCATGCTCTAGGCCTGTGAACAAATTCTGTGGTTACTCTTCTAGGAGTGGAAGCTGTCAAGGGAAAAATGTAGCAAGAGAGAGACCTTCATGGTGGGTGCAGTGTATTTTGAATGCCACCCTAAAAAGTCTGAAATTTATACTATGGATAACAAGAAACCCTCCTTAGTCTGGCTTTAAGTCAAGGAACTTACAAGACTAATAACTGTTTAAAATATGAATTCTGAGCCCAGCCTTGTGGCACATGCTTGCAATCCCAATACTTTGGAGGCTGAGGCAGAAGGAGCACCATGAGTTCGAGGTAGCCTATGCTACATAGTGAGTGCAAGGCGAGTCTAAGAGAAAAGAGGCGGGAGGGAGAAAGAGAGAAAGAAAGAAAGACAATGGAGTGCTTCAGCAGAGGGGAAGAGACTGACAAGGATACTATGTTTGTATTGGAAGGGCTTAAGTTGGAGATGAGAAAAGACTGGACAGTTATAGCCAAAAGATGAAATGGAAAAAATTAGGGGCCTTGACAAACTCTGGAGAATGATATCTGTGAGGCAAGAAAGAAAGAGACATATTATAAACCACACTAGAGTATTTAATTTGGGAAAGTCCTGCACAAATTTAACTTACTGGGATAGAAACTCAGAGAAGTGCACAGCATTGTTATATTGGTTTTGAATTAGACTGGGAGTTCTATCACACAGAGTCATTTTCCAGTGCAAACACACCCAGTGATTGTGTTTCAGGGTGCAAGAATGATTTAAGTAGTCCCTACGTTCCTTTTAGGGGGAATTCAGTATCGACCAGGAAGGCAGCTCCAAACTGAAGGGAAATAAGTATATAATACATTATTTGTCAACAGAACAGTATTTCTTTTGATCTTACTTCTCGATGACAAATAATCATTTTTAGAATTATAAATTAGTTAATTAATTTGATCTAAAAGTCTTTTCAACCACAGATTATGCTTTAGACACTAGTATCTCAGTATAAATGTATGAAATTATTTCCATTTTTTAGGAGGAAACAGCATAGAACACCAGCAACATTAGTGATGAGTTAAATATTGTTATTATTTTTGGAACTAATTCTACATTTGGCCTTTAATGCTAAACATGATTGCTAACAGTACATTAATTATACTGTTTATAGTTACTGAGTAGGATCATATGTCAGTGAAAATTAGAAAAATATTCTTTTGGAAGAAGGCTAGGCTCACTTATTGTATATAATCTAATAAAAATTTTAAAATAATTATTTTCCCAACAACATTTTGAAGTATGGGGTTCTTTTATTGGTGGGGGAGAACTCCAGTTGAGAGGCAGGATGTGGAAACCAGTCTGACCCAGTTTGTTTAAACAAAGCAGTCCACACCTTCCTGGTTAGGTCAGAGAATGTTGCTTTTACCTGGGGATAGTTGCCTTCTATTTAGCACTAGAAACTAATTGTATTACCTATGGTTATTAATCTATGACCACTTCCCCATTTTAGATTTTTTTTTTTTGCCAAGAGGACCAGGAATCCAGAAACCAATTTGGTGAAATGGAGCTGTTGCTACACATAATTTATAAGAAACAGCACAAAATACCACCTTAAAAACAAACCCAACTATCAAACATAGCCACACATTATAAGGGGAACACAGTGGGGGCAGTTAAGAGAGTGACTCCAGAAAATATTTTTCTTTTCACATCATGAAGTAACAGAGATAAAAATGGAATGGTCTTAGCAAGGTAGAAAAAAGCTGCTTCTTCTTCTTTTGTACTTTCGGCAACCATGGTGCATTTAAAACAACTCTGGAAATGTTTTGAGAAGAAAACCTGCTTTGGAAGGCAGGTAGACAATAGCTTTTTCACTATCCAAGCTTAATGATAAAAGGTTTCTGTGCCTAAGCCTGGAGATTTTGCAGATTTCTAAATTTGTTTTATTGTACTGGAATAAATTTTGTCAACAAAATACAGTGCACAAATGAGTTGAGACAAAATGTCCCTTTACCTGAGAACAAAACAACCTTATTTCTCTATGGGGAAAGTAGAGGGCAGGAAAACCAGGCTGTTTTTTCTGAAATCTAACCACTTCCCATCTCGCTGTGCCATTCTCTGAACTGCCCAGCACCACTCCCTTAACTTGATATCTGTTTACTTTAGAGGAGGCAGTTTTTGAGGAAGGATCATAAATATCCTGGCCCAGTGCCCCAGGAGCCATGACAAGCAAAAGAACGTACTCGCCTGCAGATAGCCTTTGTGATATTTAAATGTGTGGGTTAATTTTTCATCCATTTTTCTAACTATTTTTCCCCTGTATATTTCTTTGCTTTCTATTTCTGCTCTGAAGCTGTGGGCACAGGAGGCTCTGCAGGCAAATCACTCCAGAGCACATTTCAGGACAACCCTATAAGGAATAGTTGAATTCACAGCATCTGGATTCTTGCTCCTTTTCTGAAATGGCAGGTGTGAGTGGCTGTCTAAAATATTCTATGTTTATCTTCAACTTCTTGTTCTGGGTAAGTGCTTTTTTTTAAATCAATTTTATGAAAGAAATGGGATCTTGATATAAATATCATAAGCAAGAACAGATTCTACACTGGAGAAATAGAATGAGGAAGAAAATGTATTTTCCATTTATTTGTTTGGATTTCTTTGCTCTTTCTTTGGTTGTTTCTGTAATTGAAAATAATCCAATGACTCAAGAAAGCGTACTTCAGGATCTGTGAGGATAAACATTTCACAAATGTTTTGATATTGTTGCAAAAACAGTCACAGAGGAGAAAAAAAAAAAACCCTTAATGAAACGACAATTACTCTTAGTTGTATATCTACCAGGGCTCCTCTGTTTCAAAGCTCTGCTGGGAAACAATCTGATTCCATCACAGTCTGTTCCCAGAGTCCTTCCCTTTAGCTCTGGGTCTAAACAGGTGACTAATGGGGTCCTGGGATGATAAAGACAAGAGAAAAGGGTTCTTTTCAGAGTCTCCAGACCCAAACAAACACACAAACAAAAGGATCAGGAAACAATGAATTTATATAATCTTGAGAGGGAAACAATGAATTTATATAATCATATGATTAAACTAAGCCAGTGAATAATTATTGGCATTTAAAGTCAGTATTTTGATGTGTCATCAACCCACCTTTTAATGAACAAGGCTTGTATATAGCACCTTACATTTCTTAAATGTCCATAGATATAGATATAGCAAATAAATTGAAAGTAGCATCTAACATTGGAGAATGGAAAAATAAAGTATAAAAAGGACAGGCTGATGTTAGGAAGTAGGCCTTTTCATTTTTTAGTACACATGGTAGAGTTAAAGGCTTTAAAAGTAAATCAGTTTAAATGATTTAAAAATAAATCAGCTTAAAGAAAAATACCATTTTGTATTCTGGATTAAAAAATAGCTTAAGCAGTATATATAGGAAAGAATTCCAGTTTTACTTTTGAACCCGATTGCCTTTGGTAAGCAGATAGAAGGTATCTGTATGATGATAAATTATTCTCTTGTTAAAGTGATGGATTTAATTGAACTTAACTGCATAAATATAGTCTTACTGTATAGAACAACTTTCCACACAATTGTCAGGAACCCTAGTAAGTATAGACGACATACTGGTACATTAAATAAGTGAGCTATAACTAAAATAAACCCAATAAACTCAATTAAAGCTGAAAAAAAAAAGAGTTTTGTTCTTGGTATGTTTTTTTCTTTTCCCTAGAAAAATGGGCTGCTTTTGCAGGTGTTAAATGAAGCTCATAAATTATGCCAGTTTTTAAATGTTAGTTGATAAATTTCTTCCCTTGAAGTATTTGAAACATTTGGAGTAGAATATAAGAAAGAAATGGCTAGGATCTTTGTCTTGATTTTGCTTTTTATTTATTCTTATAGAGAACCTCCAACACTCACAAAAGAAGACAAAATAGGGTGGTCAGTTCCATCACCCAGCCAGTCTTTCCCTGTTCATACTTTCATTCATTCTTCTACCCTGACTATTTTGAAGCAAATCTCCAATATATTATTTCACTTGTAAATATTTTAGTATATGTTCTTGAAAGGTAATACATCTTTAAAAAATGTAACTACAATACCATTATCACACTTTAAAAACATAATAAGAATTTTTGTCAGCTATAAAATAACCATTCAGTGTTCAAATTTCTCAATCACCTCATAAATGTTCCTGCTTGAATTCAGATCTGAAGCAAGTTCACACATTGTGATGCGTTGATATATCTTTTATGTCAATTTTAAACTGTAGGTTCTTTCTCTGACTTCATCTCCCACCCTTGAAATTTTCTGTAGTGGTGCATGATTTTTGTTTTATTACATGTTCTATGGTCTGGGCTTTACTATTTCCATTTATTTATTGAAGGTGTAATTTAATGTGCTTCTCTGACCCCTGTGTTATCTGTAAGTTCGTGGTTGCCTTGAGTAGTTTGATAAAATTTAGGCTTTTTTTTTGTACAATAATTTCATAAGTGGTTTTATGCTTTTTCTTCGAAGGCCAGGAAGCACCACGTGTGTCACTTTTTTGTGATGACTTTTTAAGTAAGGAAATCCATTTTTAGTTCACTAAGAGATTCAAATTGGTGATTTTCTAGTACTATGAACCTTTCTTCACACATTACCTGGAATCCTTTCAACAAGGGGGAAATTATCACTTACTAATTTATTGTCTAGTTGCTAATGGTACACAGTATATATACATATATAGCATAAATTTTTATATATGATGAATATCCTATAGCATTTATTAGCATAAACACAGCATATATATTAGCATAAATACTTCTTACATTTTACTTGCCAGACTACAAGGTAGTGAATTCACTTTCTAGTACCACTCAACAGTAGTAAATTGCTATTTCTTTGATTATTGTTATGAAAAGTTAAATTCCATTTTAGTTCTTTATCTTATTGATGTACAATTTAGTTCACTTTTGGCCAATAGGTATTCAAATTGGCTTTTGGCACAATTCTAAAAACTTTGATAACTTCTTCACTATTTGGTATGACAAGATGTTCCAGGCTCATTTGCCTATTTCCAGCTCAGACCTGGAATCAGCTATTTCTCCAACAAGTCCTGATCCTTTGAAGAACTGCAGCCACTGCCTCCTTTCTAGGATACAGAATATATAGGGTCCATTTAAACAAACCCAAATATTAGTATGCTAATAAGTGCATAGCTCCTATTTCAGTAAGATTCCTGAAGTACCTAAATAATATTCAAACTACAAAACAGTTAAAATATACCCTTGTCATATAAAAGCTGCCCAAGAAGTGCCACTGGACTGGCCTTTGTGAATACATCAGAGGTGCTTTCATCAGGGAACACATGATCTGTCACTTTTGAGAGGTGCTGACAGAGATTGTGAATAAATCTTTCATTTAATCATGAAAGTGTAATCAATATGAATTTGAAGTCAAAATGATAAAGATAACCTAAGAAAGGGGTATATCATAGATTCAAGATCATATATTTAAGATTAATGTCAGCTGTAAAAATCTGTGCCATGCTGTATCCAGACACTACTGTGGCTTTTCTGGGGAGCTCTGATTATTTTATGGTTACTAGTAACTGTTTCTCGGATAACACAAAGTCTTTCCACTGCTGTAGATTTCAGTTAGGTAGTTCTAACTTCCTTCATCAGTTCTTTCCAGTAAGTGTTTTGGATCCTACAATTTCTATAGAAGAAACTTTGAATGAAGTGTTTCAGTGTGAACAACAGTTAAAAAGATTCAGTGGTAACTTCTTATGTGACATCAATATTTTAAATTAAAACTGTGTTACAGGAGGAATTTCAGAGGTTATGGAATGCTCCTATTTCTACTTTCTAGACTACCACTAAGCCAAAGCTCACAGCTGGGATTTTATGACTCTTCATAGGAAATCAGCAGTTGTCACATTCTTAATGTTTACTTAAGCAAAAATTTTAATGGGTCCCACTGATGTGGTTTTCTTGTTCATATCCATGGCCTTATGTTTTCAAATGCATTCTTTCTGGTATAACTTGCAAAATTAGGTTTCTGCAAAGCAGGGGCCAGATGTTGAGATATCTCTAAGATATTCTTATAGTCATTTAATCTAAATATACTACTTTCTTTTGGGTGAGATCTGCCATCACCTAAGTATGAAGTGTTTTCCACTTGTTAAAATTACTAATTGAGTAAAAACTTGTAAGTGTGTCAATCATTTCTAACCATTCATACTACCGTCTGTAGCAAATTAAAAAGTTTGAGGGTGTAGAGATAATAAGTTATAAATTCAAAGTCTATTTTCCTATTTTCTTTAAAAAAACAGATGAAAACTCAGTTTTCCTTATGTTCTTCTCAGACATGACTGGCCTGGGAGTATTATAGTTGCTTAGAATTTCTGGGGAGTCTGGATAAACAGGAAACACAAGGCCTTTGGCCAGGAGATGTGCTGTGTAATAAGGAGCAGAGATAGAGAAATGGCAAGGAGAGCTCTTAGTGGGGAAAAGCAGAGTGAGCAGACATTACCAATCCCGAATAAGGAAAGGTGAGAAGGAATCAAGCTGCGAAGCCAAATGTGTCAGCAAATGTAGAAAGTTAATCCATAAAGGTGTTTGAAGAGAGCAGAAGATAGAACATGGTGCGAATCTAGCAACCAGTATTTCATTGTTCATTACTGTATTTATTTTATGGGATTCCTGGGCCTCTAGATAGGATGTGCTGAGAGCAACTAAAAATCGGAGGGAAGGCAAGTGTAACTCTGAGATGGGGTGCAATAAAAGTAATAGGACATAATTAATTGTATTTTATTCTAAAATTAATTAGATGTGCCAAGATAAAGATAAAACAATGATTGAAATGTATGAATGATTGTAAATACAGTGGTTGCATCTCATTATGTAATTAACGTTTTTTGAACTGCGACAGTGACAAAAGCTGCTGAGAGCTCAGGCTGAATAGCACCTCCTTCATCGCTAGCTGAGCTCCCTTGAAGAAATTTGTTAGGTTCTCTGTGCTTTATTGTTTATCCATAAAAACGAGGATAGCAATAGTATCTACCACATGAAGCTATTGTTATGATTAAAGGAGTTAATACACATAAGAAAATGAGAATTATACTAATGAAAAAGAAAAAAGATATTTCAATCCATATTGCATAGGCATTTTATGAGACAGAAATATGAAACTACCCCACTTAGTGTTGAAAAGTTTTCAATGCTGGATTTTGAAAAAGAATTTCAAAGAATTCTTTAAAAAAGAATTTTGAAGAGAAGGAAATAAGATGTAAAGAATTATAATAAGATGGAAATTATCCTACTAAAAGTTAAAAGTATGGAAAAGATGAATTCATACTACTAGAGGTTCGAATCCTGAGTCTACTTCTTACTGTTTTGAGATCTATAATATTTTTTTCTTTCTTTTCTTTTTTTTTTTTTGGTACCGGGGATCAAACTTGGGTGTTTGCAGTTGTGAAGCAGGTGCTGGAACCACTGAGCTAAATCCCCAGCCCAATCTAGACTATTTCTATTGATTTTTCTTGTGCCCTAGTCTCTGCTTTTGTAAAATGAAGATAATTTTGCCTGGAAGGATTAACTATAAAGATTAACTGAAATACCCTATAAAAGCCTATAACCAAGGATTGACAATTAATATTATTTTCTGATTCTAATAATTACATTGCTTTTTAATTTAAAAATTTTGAATAGGGTATGGTACTATTTTATACATAGTGAACTTAAAAACCTGTATATAATTTTTACCCCGAGTAAGAAATCTGTGGGGGAAAGAGGGAAAATAAACACTCTGAAGCTGGCATTCAATTTGGGCACCAAGACCCCAAGATTCCCTGCCGAAATGGCTTCATACCTGCTTGCAAGCACTAAATGAGCTCTTTTCCAAGACTGATCATGGCAAGCTGTTTGCTAGAAATGGGAGCAGAGTGTAAATTGAACTTGGGTTTCTACTCTGAGGCACCCACACCCATTTCTGTGAGGTCCCACACAGAGCTCAAAACTGAAGAAAGAGTGAGAAGAGGACTGGAGTTGACTGTCACATGCCACTCCCTTCTGGTATGCAAATTCGAGGGATCTAAGAATGCTAAAACAAATCTTGTGTTCCAAGTCCTTCAGCAGGTGCGCATTTTTTTTTTTTTTTTTTTTTTAGTGGTAGGCAGAAAGAACACACTTTTCTGTGCTCATTATCTTCACTTAATTTCTCAACACAGAGACCTAAGGTCTGTGGTCTGTTGTTTGTATTCTTGCGCCTGGTTTTTCAAGTGTATTTGGGGGCCTACAGGTGTTACTTAGATGGCAGTTGTGCTTTTGAAACACTGCAATGAAATTGCATCGTGTTATGATTCACAGAACATTAGAATGCAGAGAAAATGCTGAACATTCATTTCTCTTCACATATTTTGAAGTTATCTGAATTTTAATTATTTAGTGTTTACTAGGACGTTTATTTCAAAAAGAAGGGTGACTGATTTTTCTCTATAAATTTAAAGTTATTAAAAATAGGATTTGCTTCAGTTGTATGGGATGCTTCATTTCTTTTAATGGATCTAGAAAAATGCATATGAATGCAACCCACAGAAACACATATCCTGCATACTTAATACTCATTGATGCAATAAACAGTTGGAGATGTAGTTGTTTTAATTACTTTTTTCATTGCTGAGACAAAACACCCGCCACCCAAAGTTAAAGGAGGAAAAGTTTATTTAGCTCACAATTTGTAGACATTTCTGTCCATAATTGCCTGGTTCCAAGGTAAGGTGGCATGGCGGACAGACATAGCAGGGAAGAAACAGTTCATGGTGGGCAGAAGGTAGCAAAACAAGCAAGGGAAGACTGCAGCTCTTTCTATCCCTTATATCTTATTCATACTACTTAGGGCAGGTAGCACTCACACCCTTAATCCTCGTGCCTTTGTTCCTAGCATTGCACCATGAATCAGTCCGAGTGTCACACATTCTAGATCCAGTCACCTGTAAAAAAGCCCCATCTATGACTGCATGAGACTTTGGGGGTGGCATCTAAACATAAGCTGTAACAGAATTTAAGGGGGAAAAAAAACCACATTGCAGCAGTGTGAAGACTGTAATTCACATCAGTGGTTGAGAGAATTAGGAAATCAGACATTGCATAAAGGATGGATACTATTGAAGGAAATCAGAATTGCTTTAGGCCACATCTGTAAAGAGAAGTCATAACAATCTCTCCTCTCATAGAAGATCTTAGAATTACATTAACCCATGTCATTAGAAAGTGGAGCAAAGCCATTATCCTGTTCTTAATAAATAATGACTCAGAATAGGCCTCATCCTATTCAAAGATGAATAAAGAAAAATTTAGATTAAGGCCTAGAAGGAATACTGTTTAGTAAATAAAAGATAATACCAGCTGAAAACTTATAGGACAGGCACGTATTTCTGATGAAAAACACTCCGGAATCCTGAAAAATGTAACTGGAAAATGGTGTCCACAAAGTGATGCCTGAAAATAACCTCCATGACATTCATGAAACAGTGTTTGGAGGACATAAGACATGATAAATTTAATTGGACTGTCTTAGAATGAGTTGAAAAAGGAAATAGATGAGCAAAGACTTAATGTAAACTAGAAACTCAACAGCAGAATTAAAATGCACTGTAGAGAGCACACTAGAAACATTGATATAGAAATAAAAATAATGTGAAGATGCTAGAAAAGAGTATAGAGAATGAACATCTAAAACAAATTGTTTTATTTAACAACACAAAACACACAGAATTAAAAAAGTCAAATGTATATGGGGAAATATGTGGTGCTAAAATTATATTTTGCATGTAGATGAACGTGCTTTGCCACAACATAAGATGTTGATGCCTAGATAAATATTAGGAAAACTAATTTTGTATTAATACTATGATCTTACATGTGAATTTCTCCAACAAGATGAAAAAGCACTTGTTTCTTTTCCCTTTTTAAACTGAGTTTATTGGTACATTTTAGGTATACAGTACAGTTACATTCATTATTGGGATCTTGTACCTCTACATGACAGGTCTTGGTTCTCATTTTTTCCCCTTACCTCTGCCCTCCCTTCACTCCCTCGTCCCCTCCCCATTTACAAACACTTTATTTCCATCTTTTCATTTTTATATGAAATTTGAAAAATAAGGAGAGAAATAGGAAAGGAAGTCAGAGTTCAGCTAATTTCAATATTCCTAAAATAACTTTCTCTAACTGTAAAGATTGAAGCTGGACAAATGTTCTTTACTTCTGAAACAAATGGGTGCTCTTTATTTCCATGTTCACATTACAGACAGTGCTCAGGAGCTCAGGCATTTGAGGGACAGATGTGGCTAATTTCATAAGATCCATGTATGGTTTAATTTCTAAATACTTTGAAAACATGAAATAAATAATAACATATAGACAAAAAGTAAAAGTTTCAAAAATTTAACATACTTTCTGAGATGTCTTAAGGTATCTTTCTGTTTAATAAATACTATAAAACATTGGTAATTACAATACCTACTAGGATAATTAATGTTATTGTCAGTAAAGCTAAAGGCTAGAGCAACTATTAAGACAATCACTGTAAATCTACCCATTAAAAGAGAAGAAAAAGAGAAAATATAAATAAACAAGTCAAATAATAGCAATAAATCTAATTGACATTAAGTTACTGAAAATCCTGGAGCATTTCAATATCATTTGACATAAATTCTTATGGACTTATTGACAGATAACTGCTAAAATGAACATTGTCTCTATTTGAAAGTGAAATTAGGGATTTAGTGGAAGAGGTAGGAGTGGAGACTTAAGAGAGGTTTTCAAGCTCTAAAGCTGTCTTGTTTAATAGTTTGTGTTTTAGAGAGAGAGAGAGAGAAAGAGAGAGAGAGAGAGAGAGAGAGAGAGAGAGATGAATTATGCACTTAGTAAGGGCAGATTGATCAGGAATTGCCCTGAATTTTCTAGATTTGAATATAATCTCTCAGGATTCCAATTTTTTTTAATCCAAAATGAAGAGTGTGGACACAGATGATTTTTGAGGTCTTTTAGGGAGTCCAGATTCTATGGCTATTCAGCTGTACACTGCACTCCCGATTCTTTACAAAGCCCTTGAGTTTATTTTTACTGCATACCTAATGAGAAACCACTAAAAGTGCTGCTGGGAGGGGGGTTCTGGACAACAGTTCAGTCATGCCTGAAAGCTGTGACACTTCATGGTCACTGGCTTTTGGAGGACTCAGACATTTCTGTGTCAGGGAAAGATTAGAAACATCTAAAAAGTCCTCCAAGACCTGCTGTGTCTGGTATGTTACCAGAGTGCTCTCAACATACCTATCTAATAATATGTCTGATTTTTTTGAGCCTACAATATATATCTTTTTTGTTAAACCATGAAAGACAAGAGTTTTCCTTACATTAAAGTAAAATGTATTTCACATTTTTCTTTTTGGCCTTGACCCAAATTAAATAATCTGGTAAAGTCATTAAAGGAATTTAAGACTTTAACTAGTGGTTTCCATTGTTCCTTCTCTCTAGCTAAACTTTACCACCTAAAAGTGCTTAGTTTAAAAAGTTTATTTATATTAAAAATATCAGTTATTATATTCCTTTGTTGCTTAGTTGTACATTTTATCCAGTGCCCTACTGTTTTCTGTGAAATCCAAATTTAATCTCTCTCTTGAATCTTGAAGGACTAATCGGTTATTAGTCAGTTATTCCTTTCCCTTTTGGTCCAGAACAGCTTCTCTGAGATTGACCAAAGGGCATACTAAGGATATTTTCTCTTTAAACTGTTTTAATTTACCTTATGTGTGCTACAATCTAGCTAAAAATAAATTAAATCATGAGAAATAATCTTTTCCTGCTTTGTGTCAATAGGCCTATAAATGCACTGTGGATGAGGAACAGGTATTCTTATCAGGCTTATGAATTACAGTGCAACAATTCAGCAATTATCTGCACATGAATATGCCTCATTTATGTCCATCACACTGTAACAGAATAGTTCGTGATAAACTATTACAACCAGATAGAAGGAATATCTGACATTAATGTTTTATTTTATCTTAATTGTACTCTGACATTGTTTTTCTTCTGCAGTTATGTGGTACCGTGATCCTGGGAATAGCAATATGGATACGAGTAAGCAAAGATGGTAACGAGGTAAATATATAAATGTATAGATAAGGTAGTTGATTTCTCATAATAATGAAAGTAATGACAATAATCAAAATACACCTTTCTACAGCATTTTTAAACCATCTCATATAATTGTTAATGATGATATGAGTTAATAATTATTTATTATATGCCTGACATTGTGGTAGACAAGGAACAATCTTTCTGGAGAATGGAGGAGGTATTATCTCAAATCCAGGAAGATTCCAATGAAAGTGAAAATTTGCTACTTTCATTATTTGTTTAAGGCCAGTTTGAGGAAAAATACAACCTCTTCCCTCCAAGAAAAATAATTTTTATAGTATAAGGTATTGACCATAAATTAGCTGATGTTAACGTGGTTGATCCAAAAGAAAAAAGGTAAGAAATTCTCTTGGTGAAGGAGAATATGAATCTAAAAATCAAATGAAGTCTTCTAAGTTTTAAAGGCAGCAAAATTCAAGGATCCAGGTGGTATTTGCCTGTAGCAATCGACATTAAGGTCAAGCCCTCCAACAAGTGCTGGTCATTATAGGGTAACTCTCCAGTTAGCGGGAGGTGACCCAGTTTCTTACTAGCTGGTGAAATTAACATGACCCATTTCTCCCACACACTCCATTCCACGCCCAGAGGCAAGACTTTTTACCAGTATTTCCACAGTCTGGAAACAGTGAGTTCTGGCTCCAGCCTTTGGGCATCACATGTGTAATTTCTCTTCCACACCACAGTGTCACAGAGATGGACGGAAGGGGAAAGGAGTGAGTGTGTGCGCCTCTTGTTCCGAGACACTTTCCTGGTATAATGCCATGTAGCACCATCTCTCAGCTTCCTTGCTTCCATTCTTTTCTCTCTCTTCCCTTTTTCAGTGGTGCCTCTGCTCCTAAATATTATTTCTACCTCATACGAAGTGGGCTTACTTGTATTGTTGGTTGTGTAGGCTCTTGTCACTATTCAGAATCATATATTTTATCACAACAGTCTTTTCAAAGGCTCTGCTCAGATGAAGTTCCCCTGTCTTTGGAAGAAGTTTGATTCCTTTTTGATAATTATAAAGATAGTATTAAGCCAACAAAGAAGACAACAAATTTTCTCTCAGAATGTATTATACCATACCACCGGCACCTAAATACCTTTAGAGACAGTCTAGTGGGAAGAAAGATTAAAAACAAATTAGCATCTGTTCTGTTTCTTTTCCTGAAGTTGCTTGGCTTTTCTGGAAACTAATCTCCCTCTATTCCACACAAGAACCCAGAGTCTTAGAGGAAGTTAACTGCTTCCTTGTTTTATGCTAGATAAAGAAACTGGGTGTGGCAAGTAATATGTAACTTATGAGTTTCTCTGAGTTACACTTATTACTTACATTAATAAGTATAGCTGATGGCTGGGGGCTTTGATGTTTGGACTCAAGAGGGGATGAAGGTGTGCAGAATCTCAGACTGACTTTGGGACTCATAATTAAGCAGAGAGATATCAGCCATTAATTCCTGGGTACTTTGGGCTTTTAAAGATGTGTGCAGGCTGAATTTTATTTTATTTCATTCTTTTATTTCTGGTGGATATTTTCTTTCTCTCCAGCATTTTTGGTAAACAAGTTTGATATTTAGTCTGTTAAGAAATTGCACACAGTGAACATACAAAGGAGAGCCGTTGTCCTTGAGAGGTGCGACTACACATCTGGGATAGGAATGAGCATATGGAGCTGGATAGCATCTTTATTAGCTACATTTGGAATCATGTGCTGTTTGCCTCTTGCCATGCACACATCAGCATCACCCAGCATGACTTACATGAAATTGACTTGGTTTATATTTTTCTGAAGTTATTGACAAGAAAAATCAAAGCTGAGGAAAGAGCTGAATTTTATTACCGGAAAAACCGGGTAGTAGCTTTAGAAGGGAAAACATGAACATAAAGGCAGAAAAGGATGCCAGGGAGTTATCTCTTTCTGCTGAAGTGTCTCAGAGGGACATTTTTTCTCCTTGAAGTTAAACTCTGGACAGGAGGCAAAACATATGAGAGGCCATCTTTGCCTCAGGAGAGCCCTTTCAATCCAGAGATGATTCTGAAATCCTTTCAGGCCTCACAATCCCTCTTCTGTAGAATTTCTCCCCTTCTCTTAGGACACACAGAGACTCAGTATTTACTCAAAACAATCTTTAAAACCCTGCTGTGTCTGTGCTGGAGCAAACGTCTGAATGAAGAATTTCTCTTCCCTAAGAATAGCCATCTGTTGGACTGTCCACACACAGCTTTCTGGTCAGTCAGTCGCAGGCAGTGGGTTCCGCTGTCCTAGTGAGCCTCAGCAAAGCATCTCATCAGTTGCTGCCCAGGGGTCAATTACACTACTCAGGCCTCCTGTGTAGACTTGATCTATTATTTCTGTCTGGACTAGCTATCTTATCTGAAGTTCTGATAAGCCAGCAAGAATGTCTTTTACCTTCTCAAAGGCCATAGAGTTTGCCTGTAATGGCTGTAATGTTCTTGTGAACGTTGTATTTAACAGTGGGATGATAGAACTGCTTTCCAAGGCTGCCTTTTATGACACCTCTATTTTAACCCAGATGACATGCCTTTTTATTAACAACAGGGATTTCTTAGTTCCAATCTTAATGATAAAATGGATACAAATATCTGCTGAACAAACAAAAATCTTTAAGACTTATCAAACTTTTGAAATATGTAGATTGAAACATTACCTGTTAGCACAGAATCTGAGAGACAAAAGAGGTTTTAGAAAACACAGAGCTGACCCACTTCTCTTTATAAATGGAAAGCTGGGGCCTGACAGGTCCACTAGCTATCCTCGGGTTACAAACTTAGTTTCTTCTAGGATTCTGAGTAAAATGAAGATGTTTGTTTTAATGCTTATATAATTTTAGCACATTCCTTCCTACTTATTGTTGCAGAAAGGTTTCCTGTAGGTCATGAGTGGATTTTAAAAGGTTGCAAGACAAAAGGCAGCAGTTATTTTTGTACTGCCTGTTAAGGGTGGTGACCCACAGGTTGTATGGAAGATTCTGGGATGCAGAGTCTTTCAGGGAGTGGGGACACCAGCACTCTCTCTGGAGACAGCCCAGTAGGTAGAGGGTATAGAAGACAGGTGGGCTAGATGCAGAGTGCAAATAGAACATAGGCACAAGTTCTTGTTCTTTATGTGATGAATTACTGCACATTCATGGACAACAGGGGCAGGTTGAGGCTGAGAGTTATGAGAGCAATAAAGATTTTCCCCATTTTGCTAAAAGAACTGAGTTATGCCAGAAGAGTAGCCCACCCACCATAAAGGGTCCTAGAATATTTCCTCAATATCCTATTACTTATCACAAATAGTTGATGAAATAATGAGTTTCTGGAAGAACTGTTCCTTCTGGGAATGAGAAGATAGACTGATATGGAATTTCAGGAACTGGACTTTTTAAAAAACCAAAACGCAAAGAATTTTTATTAACTTATAAAACTTCCATCCTGTCTCTTTTTAGTCAATTTCTGCCTTCCTTCCTACTTTGCTCAAAGGCAAACACTGCTTTGATTTTTATCTCCACAGTTTTGCCTGTTCTTGAACTTCACATAACAGGAATCCTACAATATTTACTCTTCTATATATGGCTCCTCAAATTCAACATAGTGATTCTGAGGTTTATTTATATGATGTCTTTAAGTGCTTTGATGAATTTAGGCTTTTTAAAAATTAAAACAATTGAATGACCACCAAATATGCTTTATAATTGTACTTTATATATAAAATGCCAAATGTGTGAAGCAAAAATTACATGAGGAGAAAAGTACAGGTCCCTTAAGCTTTTAAAAACAGTTTTAAAAGAACCATGACATTTCTTCCATCCAATGTGTAACCTGTCATTTTAGAACAACTTAAAATTGGCAACATTATTTAGCAAAGTGCAATCTCAGCAAGATGTAAGCTCCAGGAGGGGAGAGATTTTGGCTTGGAAGTATTTCAAGGTCCCAATACATGTAGTAGCTACTCAGTTGGTATTACCTGATAAAAATAAACATCAAAGAAATGAATTTGTCATGAATGTCATCTTTATTTCCAGATTCTCAGTTCTGGGAACTCTGACATCAATCCCTTCGTTGCTGTGAATATCTTGATTGCTGTGGGTGCCATTATCATGGTTTTGGGGTTCCTGGGATGCTGTGGTGCCGTGAAAGAAAGCCGCTGCATGCTTCTCTTGGTGGGTTCTCCAGACAAATATCAATATTTAACCTTTGGATTCCTGAGGATTATTTCCTGTCCCTCTTATCTGTCAACAGTATTTGACAAGATTGATGAACTCTAACTTCTGCTTAGAGCATTTGATTGTGGAACCTAATATGGTTTAGATTTATCTTAGTTTGGCTCAGACTAGAGGATAGTCTGCAAGGAGGCAAATGTGATTTATTCATTCATTCATTCATCCATTCATGCAACAGAATAGCACACCTCTGAGGCCCAGATGCTGGGCCTAAATGATGCATAAGGCCTTAAGAAAACTAGAACCCTCTGGGGACGGTGAATAAGTAAACAAATGGCTGTAGTGGGAGTGAGTGACCCAGAAAAGAAGGGCAAAGAATGAAGAGAAATCTTTCAAGCCAAGAGCAGGTGAAAAGTGTCCTAATGGGTGAAGGTGGAAAGTCTCCAGGAAGAGAGGTTGGCGGTCAGCCCATGGCTGGCAGCTCTGGGAACTGGCCTGCGTGGGTGTGGTTGGAAAGCAGCAGAAGCTGTTTTCAGTAAATGTTGGGGGATGAGACTGAATGTGGACCGCGGTAAAATCATAAAATTTACTACATGTTGTGCTAAGTAAATTGTAAGGCAGCAAGAAATAACCAGTTTTGTTATTTAGTAAGCTTCTGGGAGGCTCAACTGGGTTAGAATAGCCTACAGGAACTCACGTTTAACATGGTAGAAAATAATGAATGAGTATGTTGTAGAAAAATCAAGTGTTTATCAGTTATAAATCTGACACATTTATCAAAGCTAATATAAACTATTTCTATAATATAATAAGGATTATGTTAGTTCCTAAAAATATTTTTTGCTTATTGTGGGAGACAGTTTAACAAGACCCGAACAACATCCCTAGTGATTGTTTTTTGAGCAACAAGATCTCATTTGCAGTTCGGGGAATTAACTTGTAAGGCCTGTTTAAAAAAACAAAAAACACAAAACAAAAAAACTGAGCTACATTCTCCAAAATTATGATTCAGTAGATGTGAAGGAGATCTCAGAATTCTAAATATAAAATAAGATGACACAGGATTTGATACTGATAGGAATACTATTTTGAAGGCAGTTCTGAGTTTGTGTGTGTTTATATTTTATGAAAAAGTAAAAGAAAAATAATATTTAAACAAAATTTCTAAGTTTTAAAACTTCTCTCCCTTTTATATTACACAGATGCCAACGCTTCTGTCAATAAAATTTCATTTGAAATACTTTCCTTGATCAATTTTCAAAGAAAATGTTTCTGAGAACTAGTGGATCAAAATTTGCAGCTTGGCACAAAGGGTGGAATAAGTGAGGATTGTGGCTCATACTCTTAATTGCAGTAAAATCCCTGATGTTAAGGGACGTGTATGCCAAAATAACCCAGATATTACTGAGTGTACTGAGGATAATAAATACGGCCTTTCTTTTTCAGTTCTTCATAGGCTTGCTTGTGATCCTGCTCCTGCAGGTGGCTGCAGGTATCCTAGGAGCTACTTCCCAACCTGAGGTGTGTGCATTGCTGATGTTTGATCATTTGGAAAAGTCTAAACAATCGGAATACTACTTTCTGGTGTGAATAATTTAACAGTGATTTTCAATTTTCAGACTAAACGCATTCTGAATGAAACTCTCTATGAAAATGTAAAGCTTTTGAGTCAAACAGGGGATAATGGAAAAGTATTCCGGGAAGCCATGACGGAATTTCAAAAAAAGGTAATTAGGCTTTTATGTCGGAAGTTAGACATAGTTCTTCAGAGTTTAATTTTTAAAGTGGCTTATCCATTACTGATTTAATGCTTCCATTTTGTAGATTTTGATTATTCTGGTAATGTGCAGTAAGATAAACTCAAGAATATTTGTATTTTTTTCCATCTTCTTATGAAGGCTTTAAGCAGTTTAGGACACAGGTTAAAAGCTATGTTGTGACATATTGAGATTTAATTGTCAACCAATAATTGTCTTAATATTTACATTTAAAAGAGTTAGTGTGTTTGGGGAGTCTATCTGTGTCTCTGCTTCCATAAAGTGAATATAACTAACATCTACTGCTACTTACTTCTGACTGTATCACACACAATAGCTCATTTGATACACAACCCTATGAGGTGATGTTATAGTCTGTTTTGTGTTACTGTAACAAAGTACCTGAGGCTGAGTGTTTATAAACAAAAGAGATTTATCCAGAACTCATGGTTCTGGAGATTCAAGAGCATGGCAGCATCACCTATGTGACTCTGGTGAGGGCCTCATGGAGGATGGCATCCAAAGGTGATAGCAGGGACGGGAGAGATCATATGGAGAGACAGACAGCAAGAGGCTAGGAGCCTGTCTCAGTCTTTTTATAATAGCCCATTCTCTTTGAAATTAACTCACTCTTTAGGACTCAACCAATTCTGCAGACCAGCTGTAATCCACTTGTCTTGAATTAAGCAGACTCCATTTCTTAAAAGTTCCTTAACCACTACCCTGGGGTTTTTAGCAGATGAAATTTAAACCATGCCCAAACCACAGCAGATGGTAATATTATTTTAATCTATTTTATAGATGAGGAAACTGCGATTTAGAGAGGTCTGACAACTAGCAAGTGGTGATGGAGTTAGAATTTGAATCACATTTATCTGAGCAGTCTATTATTTTTTAATGTGTACACTAGCCCTTCTTTCTTTTCTCTGTCCTCATCTTCCTCCTCTTTCTTTTTATTCTTCCTTCTCCCCTCTTCCTCCTCCCCCTTCTCTTTCTTTTTCTTCTCCCCTCATTTTTATCTTTGGGATAAATTCAAAACTCAGGCAGGCATTGAAGTTATTCTATCTGGTTCCTACCCAATCTTTTAACTATCCTAAACACTCCTCCCTAAATAATTGTGTACAGCCAGGTTTGTGATGCAGCCATTGCACCATTCCTCTTCCTTGGAATGTGTTTAGTACTTTTCTCTTTCTTTCTGAATCCATGCACTTTATGGTTTGACTAAAGTATTAGCTACTCTGTGAAACTCTCCTTAACTATACCTTTCTACCTAAAATTCCCATCATGTTAACTACTAGTGGCATTCACTTTAGGCATGTCAGGGGAATTTTTAGAATCTTAATGGAGGGCTGGATTTCACGGGTCAATTATCTTGACTTTTCACTGATTTATTATATATCCATGCCTATCCACCAGTAGATACCAAAAAGCTGAAAGTACCAATTTTTACCTATCCCACTTATATTTAAGTCTGATTAATGTGTTCTTTCCTATTTTCAAACAAAGTCTATCTGCTTAGAATATACAGTATTTATTCTCAGTTACAGAGTTTAAGAGGAAAAACAAAAAACTACCCACACTCCTACACATGGCAGGGTTTTTGAAAGTGGTTATTGCTTAACTCCTAAAGCCTTGCCTTTCAAGTTGAAACATCCTTCGTTTCCTGAGAGCTATTCATCAGATGAAATTGTTTTCCCATAGCATTTACCAGTTCCTATTTGGATTTACTCCAGTTTATAAAATATTCTGCCTAAAGCATGGTTTCCCAGAACTGAAACCTGATATGGGTCAGTCCTTGTTTAACTTCCTCCATTTTGTGCTTTTCCCCTAGCTTCCCTGTAGCTGCATCCTTTTTCTCTCCTCCTGGATTATTCCCACTCTAGATCACAAACTAATACAGTTAAAGCAGTAAGAGTTTAGGCAATCACTGTTCTTTCATTGGAATAGCGGTAACCACTGATCTTCTGGGCTATGTCGTCAGTCATTTTTGATGCACATTGTTCCTGGAATTTAAGGTCTGGGGCCAACTGTGAATTTCTGACTGTTCTGTCTTTTGCAGCATGTTCTCCTGATACGCTCCCATTTTGGGCTGAAATTCTATGCTGGAAGCTCTTGTGTTTATAGAGTCTATTTCTTTCTTAGTATCCTTTCTGAATTTGTTTTTATTTTCTGTTCATTTATCTACTTTGGCTTTTTTAAAAAAGTTATACTTCTTTGAGAATAAAAGACCCTACTCTAAACCATAACGTCCGACTGAGTGACCTGGGTTACTTGTATACATAGACAGTTGCAGATGCTGATTGGCTTTCTCTTGGGATTTCAAGAAATTCCCACACAATTTCGCTTTAACTTGTGATGGGATAAGCCTGTTACCGATTCTTAGTAATAACTATTTGTCAAGAGGTGCTGCATAATGTTTTTTTTCCCATCCAACTGCTACTTAATTTTCATTAAATTGTGTCAATTTCTGGGCCAGGGATTTACCTCAGTAGTTCGGTGGCCTGCCTTGCAAGCACAAGGACCCAAGTTCAATCCCCGGGTACCCCCAATCCCCCCCCAAAATTCTGTCAATTTCTTCCCTAACTTCTCCCATTGAGGATATAGAGATCAGAAAAGCTTTTGTCTTGCTATCTTCTCCTGTATTTCTTTCCTGCCTTCCTAAGAAAACTGAGGTATATTGTATTCCTAATATAGAGTGATCTGTGTGTGTATAGAGGGGCTTTATTACTATTTTATATAGAGTATGTATTAATACTATTCAACATTATTTAATGAGAAAGCATAAATATCTAGTCAGTTCTACCATGGGATCAGGAAAGGAGATTGTTTCTAGACTGTCCTCTTTGCTAATATTGATCTTAGAACTAACTGAAATTTCCAGCTCTTTGCAATTCCACCTTTGGGCCAAAGTTAAAAACTTTATATTTGCCTCAGTTAAACTTGTTAGTTTAAATTCATTGTTGAACCATCTTTGAAACTAGATTTAGTTCTGTAGCTTATTAATCATTACTCCCAACTCTAAATCAACTGTAGTGAACAGATACTTCTGTGTCTTTATGCAAACAAGTGGTAAGAATTTTGAAAAACTCATGTTCATGTGTGACCATAGGAAAAAACTACAACAAAAACAACCACAACAGATAACAAAAACAAAGTTATAGCAGCTAATCATATTACTGAGTGTTTTGTTTAGCCAGGCCCTGGGCTGAGCAGTTCCTAACATCACATAAATTTTCTCACTATCTTTACAACAAACCTCCAAATGAGATGGCATTACTAACAACTATTATTATTTGTATTTGACATATGAAGAAACTGTAGCATAGAAATGTTTAACTAATGTGGCTAACATAGTTACCTAGCCATTAGGAGGAGGAAGTGCTTTCAATATTCTCACATTTCAATGAGTCAAACCCTGGAAAAGATCACCCAGAATTGGCTCTATTTTCTTTAGCATTTTCTTCCTGCCATTTCTTCAATAATAATCTTTCCCCCAGCACAGCATTAGGAACAAGATGGGAAATAATACCTTTCACTTTTAATAATATTATGTACCACATGTGCTGAGTCATTGGGCTTATCACTTCCTATTTTCTTTCCTCAAATATGGCCACAGTATCCCCACACTCCATCACCTGCGTTGCACCATGTTTCCGTTTATTTTGGTCCTTCCTGTTCCTGTCATTAGTCTAAAAGACTCATGTTTTGTTTGTACTCCCTTACCTATGTTAAAGTACCCTCACCTATGAAAATTCAACCACAGGGGATGTGCCCTGGAATACCCTCTTTGCTCTTCGCAGCACCTCTCATCCTTTTCCTTTCTCGCTTCCGAAAGTGATCAGCTATCACGAGATGGAAATTTCATTGTTAAAACCTTCCATTTCTTTTGAATAAGATTTCTTTAATGAGACCTTCACTCTTTCATGCACTCTTTGGAAGCTTCTTTGCTAAAATGTAAGATACATGAATCTAACTCTGTTCTCTCTTCTGTCATTAAAACCAGAAGGAAAGGTTTTTAAAGCAATTTTATTCCAAGTTCCTCAGACTTTAGCATCTTAGCCCAACTTTTTTCTCTGTTACTATTAGGACCAAAATGAAAAACAAATCTGTCATTTTTCTGCTACATTTAGGGAAGTGGGTAAGGTGACTTTCATTGTATTTACATTTCTGAATAATGATATTCAGAAGAATATAATTAAATGTATTTAAAATATTTTAATCTTTTTGGTAACTACTTTTTATCCTTTTTTCACTAAACAGTTTGAATGCTGTGGTTTGGTCAATGGAGCTGCGGACTGGGGAAATAATTTTGAATCAATTTCTCAGTCATGTGCATGTGAACACTCATCGAGTGCTTGTGTAACATATAGAGGAAAAAGTGTTTATAAAGAGGTAAGTACTAAATCAAACTTGGTAGAGTAAGTGAACCTCTTGTTTTCTTTGTGCAATGAAAATCTTTACAAAAGAATGAAATCATCAACTACTTATGGGAATTGTGATGTGAAAATCTCAGAAATTACTCAAATTTTAAAAAAGTCATTAAAGGGTAAAAGCGATATAAATTTTGAAATATTTCATTTCTCGTATGAGTTTGGCATCATTTAGATCCAACTTTAAAGATCAAAGTAGCATTCTAGAATGAAACGCAAAATACAAACTAATACAGAAGTTATTTTTTTTTTGTTCTGTTTTTGGTGAATTTAATCATTATTCTCTTCTTCTCTAAATAATTTTGTGTTCTAACATAAGTTTTAGAAATCAGTATTTCACTTTAACTTTAGAAGTTTAGTTTTTTAAATAATTTCTTTTTCAATAGAGCATAATGGCCCATGAATATCTGTAATCCCAGCATACAAGGAGGCTGAGAGAAGAGGATTGCAAGTTCTAGTCTTAATAAGATCACGTCTCATGTTTAATAATAAAAAATAAAAATGGTTGCTGACATAGCTCTGTGGTAGAGTGCTTTTGGGTCCAATCCCCCGTACTACCAAAAGAGTTTGCTTTTTCAAGAAAAGCTGTGTAAGAATTAAGTAAATATTTGACATTTAGTGGTTTGATTTCTCAGTCTTAAATGTACCTATCAATTTACCTGGTAATTGTTGCCATCAAAAAGTTGCATGAAATTTTAAAGTCAATTTGAAAAAATGAGTTTATATTTTGTGTGTTACAGATATCATATTTATATGACTTGTGCACATTGATATGTTGTTTTATATTTCTTTTTATTGATTAATTTATCAAATATTCATGAAGCACCTCCTATAGTCCAGACCTTTTATCAGTCACTGGAAACCCATTTCAAATAGGGTAAAATGTTTGTAATCATGAGCTGATAAGAGATAGATAATTAGACAACTTTAATCCAATGGACTATTGGTATTGCTTGGATAGGTGTTAGAGGTCCCCATCTACCTAGGCCTTGGAAATTCAGGGTATGACTTCATGAGGGACATGACATTTGTCTCTCACCACAGAATTTACCATTTGCTGTTCCTTCTGTCTGTCTGGAAGGAATGTGAACACGAATGACAGTACATATAAGTGTTTCATTAATTTTCTATTTTTCTGTGGTTCCTACTCTGTATCAGATAGATTCTTGATAAAAACAAACATACTTAAGGATCTTCTGGAGATTGTGATCTAATTAATTGGGGGTGGGATACATAAAAGCTGTCCTAATGCACAATGAAGTAATTTATAGAATATCTAAAGATTATTTTCAATCTAGCATTGTTTTAGTTTAGTGACTTAACTGAAGTTAATATATAAAAGGAAATACAAGTGGTACCTTGCTTTACAGTTGTTTTTGTTATTGATCTTTTAAAAATTAAAGGAGCTTTGTCCTGAAGAAGAATTGCCCTCGTTAGTATCTGACATATCTCATAGGGGAGAAATTATTGCCAGAATATAATGTGAGCATGTTGTGCTACTGTCAAAGTAAAAATTTTTATTCTTACTTTTTATAGTCCTTTCTGCATTCCTGTTTTGTACTTAATCTTATTGATACAGCATCCATAAGGAAGAGGGGGAAATAAATTTGGCACAAATAAATACAGTTTTCTCTTAAGATAATGGGCAATACTAAATTCAATTGCAGACTGATGTTTACCTCCTGTTAATGATTCAAAACAAAGACGTTTTACTCAAGATAGGTTCTGAAAAGTGTCCCCCATAGACATTCCCTACAAGTTCATGTATTGCAGCTAAATATATGCTGATAGCTGCCCTAGTTCCCCCAGAAGAAGGTCATAAATTCAGCACACACTTCCACCTGCCATGCATCAAGAGGTCTGGAAAAATACGAAATCTGGAATTCACCCCTCCCCCTCATGTCTTGTCATCTCTTCTTGCTTTTTCATTGCTTTTCTTTCTCCTCTCTTTTGCCAAGGTCACCACATTATCTTGGGAGAATGAAAAGAGAAAAACTTCTCAACTATGACGAATGTGACATTGTAGATGTGCTTAATCTCAAAATTAATCCTAAATGACATAATCTCCTCAATCGCTTACTGCTTTGAATTTGTTGTAAATGGAGAAACATCTTATATTCAAGAATGGCAAGAGAAAAGACTTAGCCTTACGAAATACTTATATCTAGCAAGCAACAGTGTTTTGTTATTCTTTTGCATACATAGGACTGTCATAGAAATGATATATTGTATGGCAATGCAACCAACATCACTATTACATTATGTAGCTAGCATTTTTCTATTTAAAAGTTACAATCTATGATTGCTGGAATTTTTAGATTTGGTCTAAACTTCTATAAAGTTGGAATTGCATAATGGTTTGAATAAATTTCACAAAATTTAGCAGAGGGGCATATTTCTAAATTCTTTTCTTTAAGTACTCAAATAATGATAAACGTAATGATCTTTTCTTTCTAATGTTAAGATGACCCTGATAGATGCTATTAAAAGATTTTGAAAATTAATTTCTTCAAAAATGATAATTTATAATATAATTAGCTAAAACTTCAATCAAAGACCACTTTACTATAAATTACAAACCTGAAAATTCTAGTCAAGATGATATAAATTCCATAATGAATAATCTGAAGTTAGGATAAAATTATTTATAATTTTTAAATTATAAAAATTATAATTTTAGAAGATATTGGTGAAAAAAATTATAATTCTCCATCTCTAGATTTAGCAAGTAGGTTGTTTAAGCAAAACTTCACTTTTTAAATGCTTTATAATTTGGGAAGGTATTTGTGAAAAAGATTATTCATAATTAAAGATTTCCTTTTTGTGTGCCAGTACCTTTGCATGGAACTACATTCCCAACTCATTTTCAATTTTAAGACAAGATCTGCCTAAGTGCTTCAAATTGGGCTCAAACTTGTGATCCTCCTGCCTCAGCTTCCCAGGATGCTGGTGTTACAGGCCTGTGCTACCAGGCCTGCCTTTAAAAGTAACTTTCTGTGTGATTTTTTTAAACAGATATGCCTTTCTTTGATAAAAGAATCAGTTGAAAAACACATTATCATAGTTATTGGAATAGCGTTTGGATTGGCAGTTATTGAGGTATGTAAAATATTGCATGATTTACTTTTCTTTCATTCTACTCTTTGTTCATTGCCTTCTTTAATGACTATCTATGGTAAACCAATTTTTAAAAAAATCTTGCTTTGGAAAAAACTGATAACGAGTGCTTAAGGCCCAGCATCTCCCTAAATAGCCTTGAATCTGACATGGAGGAGATAAAAGTCCTATTAGCTGAATAGGCCTAAGAATGTTATTTCTGAATGACTTTGTGAGAAAAAAACAGCACCAGTTTTTACAGAGGCCTTAGTGTAGGTATCCTTTTGCCTTTGAAAACCAGTGTTAAAAAAAAAATAACAAAAAACCAGTACAAGGGCTAAAGTTTCCTAAAGTGAGAAAAAAAGCACCAAAAAAGAGCAAAGAATTAAACTTTATAAGCTCTGAAGTAGATCTCATGATTCTGAAATAGAAAATGAAAACTGAACTCAAGAGTGTGGGAAGCTGTTTCCATATTATCCATTCTACATAAATTTAATAAATTCTAAGCTTATGTACTATAAACTCACTTGAGGAGGCTTTCACGAAAGTTCTGATTAAGACTTCTATCTTACTCTCATTAGTAGAATTATGATGCTGAAAAAATATTCTGCATAGGATTTTTAACTTGATGGGTTTTTTTGGCATGGCTTTTTTTTTTTTTTTTTTCTCCGAACCTGAAGAATGCTTTTCACAATGGCTCAAATACTTTGTTGAGGATGTGAAGTAAAACTGTTTCAGAGAAGTATTTTTAGAATTATCCCAGATGGTAGGTAATTCAGATATGAAGAGGGTGAAAATTCACCCACAGTCCTGCGCCAGTAAGAATGCAATGTAAAGCATTTCCCTGGTTAATGCTTCTGGAGGCTGCTGAGCTTAGCTGAGAGACTTTTGCTACACTGTCATGGAGTGTTGTGCAATGTTCCCTTGGGCCCTCTAACCGCTTCCTACCTCTTGTGCTTCATCACTGCCACAAAGGAATTTTAGTTGGGATTAAAACAAGTTAAGGCTCTAAGAAGTCATTCGGGCTACTGGTGGAGTTTTCCACCCAAGTATTAGAGAAACAGTAGGTCCTATCAGCAGTAAATTTGACTGTTCAGTATTGAATTTTTGTAACCCAAATGAATGGGTTAAAAGGTAAAGCGTTCTCTATTGATTAGATATGGCTTTCTTTATATATTCAGGGTCAAAATCAAACTACACGGTACATTAGATCTGTTACTCTAGATTCTGAATTTTATAAAATGACCTTTCTCTACACTGTATTTTGGGTTTACTCATGTTAATGTAAACATATAGCACGCATACACATATATCTTGATAGCATAGATTTAAAATGAATGATTGGAGCTAGGAGTGTAGCTCAGTGGTAGAACACCTGATTAGCATGTCCCAGGACCTACATTCAACTCATAGCACCAATATATCAATGATAAAAACAAGCAAACAAATGAACAAACATGATCAAGAGAGTGAGCTTTAAATGAGAAATTCAGTGTTAATGCCAAATTTAATGTTAGACTCAAATTCAGAAAATTTGCTATGTTACAACTCATGGATGATTTTAAGAAGCTTATGAAAAGCAAAGCTGAAAAAATTTTAAAAAATTAAAAGATAGAGAATATTGCCAAAGGCATTGCCAAAAATCTGAATAAATCTAGTGGAAATAAAATTTCAAAAGGAATAGTGCATTTCAATAGGCCTGATGAGGGAAATGGCTTAATAAAAAATCTTTTGTACAATATACTTTTTTTTTTTTTTTTTCGCTTCCAGGGATCGAATTCTTGCGAGGACCTTGCACTTGCGAGGCAGGTGGTAGAACCACTGAGCTAAATCCCTGGCCCTGTATAATATACTTTTTTGTCATAAAATTAAACCACTTATTGTTAGACCAGTTAAATGTGAGTTTTAATTATGTAGATGTGGTTAGTTCAAAGAACTATTGGAAACCTTTTTTTGGGGGGGTTCCTCAATTAAAAATCTGCCCTCATTGTATGTTTGAAGCAAAAAAGAAAATCATTATGTATTCTTTTATTCAAAAAGCAACTTTGAAAATTGTCTTGTGTTATCTAATTTATAAAAAATCTATCCCCAAATACACTACAGTTTCTCTTTTTTTGGGGGAGGTACTGGGGATTGAACTCAGGTCCTTGTGCTTGAGAGGCAGCAAGGCAGGCAGTGGAACCACTAAGCTAAATCTCCAGCCCTATAGTTTCTCTTAAAGTCCTAATCGCCTAAAACTTAGGCCCATCTCCCTTCTCCGATTCTTAAGTTCAGATGCGATCAGGTACATTCAGGGTCACATGGCCATAGAATGTTTCTCAAGTTCAGATTAAAAGAAAAACACAGCAGTGTGTGGAGAGGAAATACCTTCCAGTGAATATTTTAATAAAACTGAAGCATTGATCTTCATGCAAAAATATATACTCAGGCCATCTATGAAGAGGAGTACCCACATTTAAGCCTTTGGAATAAGCTTTGAAGGGATGAACCAAGTGTCATTTTCAAGGCTTTGCTGAGAGTGTAGACCTAAGGGGCTCTTCTCAAATTAGATATTCAGAATTTATACAAAATGCTTTATTGTATTAAAATAATCTGTAGACACTTTTGCAATTTTCATTATTTAGACTTATTCAGACTACCATAGTTTTCATTTGACTCCAGCAACTGAGAGGCACCAGAAAATGATCAACACTTTCACTTCTCTCTTTAATTTAAAAAATAAAGTCATTGATGTTGATGGTCATCGCTTTATAAAATGAAAGTTAACCTGATGAGAAGTCCTGGGGAAAGAGAAGTTGAAAATGATCATTTGATCGCATTTTAAAAATGGCTTCAAAATATGGGCAACTGCACATTTCATCTAGGAAGTTTAGGAAAATTGTCTCTTTTATTTGCTATTTTTCTGAACATTTAGGCATGTTAATTTCACAAGAAAGTGTGATATTACTTCTGTTGACATATGATCTTTTTTCCATTTCAAAGATGTAGCAGTAATAGATAATAGTTGTCTTATTCCATTATTTTGGCCATTTTCTTTAGGCCTTCAGCTTTCTTCTCCCCCAGACTTAAGAATTTTGCTCAAGGCAAGAAGATTGCATTTTAGTCCTGAATTTTACACTTGATCTTAGCCAAAAGGCCGAGAAGCGATTAGTCCTGAATTTTAAAACATTATGATCTAAAATCATTACTTTAGAGAGTTGGTGTCTATTTTATTTTTCTTTTTATGAAGGAAGAAATATTGGGTGGCAGTTTCATCACATTTCCAGGAAGGATTAGTAAGCAGAAAGTTAACACCACAGTAGTGTTTGAAATAATTCAACATAAAGGACACCTTGCCCTAATTTCTGCCTCCCTTCAAAGGGGAATAGTGGGAAGGAATTTTCAATCTGTAATGCACACAGGTTCTTCCTGACATTTCAATATCAAAGCCACCGCCTGTAAGTCACTAACTGCAGAGGCAATTAGAGCAAGTTTTAGGGCTCCTTAGTGTTAGAAGAGCTAATTAGATAGAGATTGTGCCAGAGTTTTAGCAGTGCTTTTCACTTCAAAGAAAATTCCCTAGTTAAGCTATTCCCCATAGTTTAGAAGTATTTTTTTTTTTTTTTTTTTTTTTTTTTTTTGTACCGGGGATTGAACATGGGTCCTTGTGCTTGCAGGGCAGGCCACTGAACTGCTGAGCTAAATCCCCAGCCCTAGAAGATTTTTAGAAAAAGAACAAAAAGTTACTTAATATTTTCATTCTACTAGGCAATAACTAAAGTTATGGCAAGAGAAATTCTAGACTCTTTGATTTTTATGCAGATGATCTAAACCAGATGATTATAGACTTTTTATATACGTGATAGATATATGTACCCCCTAGAATCCTGAGGTCCTCAGAGCTCACAGGGAGATACCCTGCAAAAAGATGTACATGCTGGAGAAAGGAGGGGAGAATGCTGTGGTGACAGCTTCTGTGCACAATGAAAAGGGGCTGTTAAATATTGATTGGCCAACTGAAAAAACCCTGACACACACACACACACACACACACACACACACACAAGACAAAAATAAAAAACACCTTTAAGTGCTCTTCTAAGTGTCCTTCTGTGTCAAACACCCAGGAAAGATTCAGTAGTGAGAATCAACAGAATATTTTCATATATGTTTTATTTTTGTTTATTTATAATGTCTCCAGTGTTTTGCCTTAAATTCCCCGTTAATCCTATTACTTTCCTCTCTAGATACTTGGTTTGGTGTTTTCCATGGTCCTGTATTGCCAGATTGGGAACAAATAAACCTGTGAATGAAGCCTTCACCAGTCAAACCCCTTTAAAATTTTGCTTTGGCTTTATAGTTAAATTGAGTGATATATAGGTCAGAAGCAGCTTTCTTACTAAAATGCCTCATTTTGCTAGACAACAAATATCTTCTTCACATGCTGAACATTTAAGATTTGATGTATATAATAAGAATTATATAAGTGTATATTTTTACTCAAAGTTAAAATAACCTTGTTTACATTGGTGTTTTTGTCTTTGATTCTATGCTTACAATGTTCATCTGGAGCCACCCAGTGGACTAATCTTCCCTTCAAAGTGCCAGGGCCTTAGATAAGGTTGGGCATCTGAAATGTTCAGAAACAAGAGCCATCATTAGTGATAAGATTGAAATAATTGAGAGTGGTCCAGCTGAAAGGGTCACCATCTCTTTTCTATCGTATGTCACTGATTGCTACTACTATCTCATTTTTGTTGCCTTCCCATTGTGGGGACAAGATCTGGGTGCTTTTCTCCCTATCATCGAGTCTCTGGTACCTCTCTGGATCTCTCTGTGAGTGAGGCATAGTAGTTACAACTCTACTGCTTCATTCTACTTCTGAGAAGCATTTTACCATTTTACTTATTATTGCAGTATTATATGCAGTAAACAAACCTTAACTGTATAGCTCTGTGATTATGTATACACTTGTATAAGCACAATCTAGATCAAATGCAAAACATTTCTAGCACACCAGATTTCTTCTCCATGCCATCTCCCAAGGATGTACTGCAGCTGGCCCAGGCAAACGTGCATGTCCTCCCAAGACTATTCAGTGACATCACTCTGGTAGTGTGTGACAACATGGTGGGAATATTTGCACCATGGAAACTGGCAAATACTGTAAAATCAGAGCAATTTGTTTCTATAGTTTTTCTGAGAGCTGGATGGTAAATATGTACCAGTATATTCCACTTCTCAGCAAATATCTCCCTAAAAGAAACCACTCTTCTAACTTCTATGACCGCACATTCTTCATTTTTACTCGGTCTTAAAATTTTTCTAAATTGAATAAGTATGCAGTCTGGCTTCTTTGGCTGAGCATTTTGTCTAGGAGATTCACCTACAATGTATGTAGCTGTAGAAATTTATTCTCACTACTATGTAATATTTCATTGTATATTAATAAATTACAGTGTGTTTATCCATTCTTCCCTTGGTGGGCATTTGGGTGTAACATTATCAATAAAGCTGCCATGAACATTTTTTATGTCTTTTGGTACATATGTGTATTTCTGGATATATTTATGTATACATATTCTCCATATACATATATAAAGAAGAATAAAATTCTTCTGTATTCATTCATGTGTTTAATAGATTCTGTCAAAGAACTTTCTGGCGTGCTTTAATAATTTATACACATAGTAGAAAAGTATGAAGGAGAAGGAAAAACAAGGAAGTCAATTGTTGTTAAGTGGCTCAACCAAGGAGTAGGAAACTTGCTGGAGCCCTCCTGAACTAGGCATCTCTGTTTTGTGCTCCCCTATTAATGATAAAATCTTTAAAAACTGTCCTTCTGTGAAGACATGTCATATCCCAGGAATTGTATTAGAAACTGTATTCTTATTATCTCATTTACTTTCATCAAATTCTTGTGAAGTAGGCACTCTTTTTTTTTTCAGCTTTAATTGAGTTTATTGGTACATTTTAGGGATACAGAACAGTTACATTCATTGTTGGGATCTTGTACCTCTACATGACAAGTCTTGATTCTCATTTTTTCCCCTTACCTCTGCCCTCCCTTCACCCCCTCCTCCCCTCCCCATCTACAAACACTTTATTTTCATCTTTTCATTCTCTCACATTTTTTTCTTTTCACTCTTATTATCCTCATTTTGTAGGCGGGAAAAATTGGAGTTTAGAGAAATTAGTCAACTTGCCAAGACTTAAATGGTTACTAATTGGAAAACTGAGATTAAGATCTTGACAAATGTCTCCCAAATCTTGAGAGTTAATCATGTTGTCTTTCTCATAATACAGCTACATATAACTTGCCATATTCTATTATAATTAGCCATTCATATGTTTCTCTCTGTCAGTACACTTGTTTATGACCCTAGTACACAATGCTTGGCACAGAGTTGATACTTAGTAAACTGTAGCTAAAAATGATAAGATTTGCTCAAATATTATATTATATTATTATTATTATATATTATATATCATAACATTATTATTATATTCCTGAAAATACTCTAAGTGCTTTATGTAAAGTAACTTATTTAATGCAGAACGATTCTCCTAGGTTAATATTATTATTAGACCAATTTACAGACGAGGACCCCAGTACTTAGATGAACTTGTCTTAAATCCTGTAGGTAGTAAGTGAATGGGTTGTGATTCAAAGTGGCTCAAAACCTATGCTCCTTATGTCATATCACTTATTTTACTTTACAATGTCATTGAGAGAAAGAGAAAACAAATGTAAAAGTACCGTTTATACAATGTCAGGCACATATCAGAATTTCAATAAATATTATACAATATTAATGATGTAAAGAAATTTTGCCAGTGAGGGTTGGCAGGAAAGCAGACACCCTTCAGCTATTTCAAACAATGAGAATATAATATAACATATATTAGTTTACTTGAGATGCCATAACAAAATAAGGCTGACTGAATAAAGCTGAACAGAAATGTCTCTGGAGGAGGAAGAATTCCAAGGTTAAAATACCAGCAGATTTATTTCCTGGTGAGGGGTTTTTTCTCCCCTAGTTTATAGACAAGTTGTCCTTGCTGTGTCTTCACAGTGAAAGAGGAAGAGGGAGAGGAGGAGCGCTCTTAGGTGTGTCCTCTTCTAAGTACAATCATCCTATCAGCTCAAGGTTCCACTCCTATGGCCTCATTTAAAATTAATTACTCATTCATTCCAAATATCTCCACAGTGGTGGTTAGAGAAACACATGGATTTTTGGGGAACAGAACTCACTCCATAGCAACTACTTAACGCAGGTTACAGAAAAAAGAAACCAAATAGAACAGCGCGATTACTAGGATTACCAGTTATAAGCAATAGTAGGAAGTTCCTGCTACCCTTAGGACTGGAAAAGCTGATATGTTATCAGAGCTCAGGTTTGAAGTCTACCTAGTGAAAGACAGTAACATTCAAGGACCATGGAAGAAGGACTTATGTAACAAAGCTAGGAGCGATGGAGGTTAACTCAACAGGTATTATCAGAAGAGAGAAGTGCTCTGGCATTTTTCCTACTGCAATCCAACTTTTGCCAGACCTTCCTGTTGACTGAACCCACCTAGAAACCAGAAAACAAAGGAGCCTGAAAACACGCTGGTAATCAGAGGAATGGTCTAAGAACAGACATAGAAGACAGGGAAGCGAGGGATAATTAGAGTGATAACACACAATGCTGAGCTTCTTAAGAAAGGATTATGAAAACTATATAAAGTATTACAAAGATTAACAATTTTCAAGAAAAATTTCATGAAGTTGTTTGGAGCCTTCCTTTTTTTAAAATTAAAGATTGCAAACATACATGACAATAAGAAATGAAGATACTAAATAAAAATTTCAAATATACATATATATGACAGCAAAAAAGGATATGAAATAAACAAAATTTATGCAACACAGACTGATAATCAAAATACATCATTAGTTTGATATTATGATCTTCAAACATATGTTCTTTCTCATTTTCTTTTCATATAATATTTTTGAAATATTGTATTTACAAATAAAACAAAGTTACATATTATAGTTGAGAAACTGTCCTCAAAATTTTATGATTCATAAACTCTTTGGTTTTATTAATTTGATAAATACCATATGCTCATTGATTGTATCAGTTACATTTTCTAACAAAACTTCCCACAGAAAAGAAATATAATTAAAATCCAAAAACAACTAAGAGTTCACATTTTTAAGATTAGATTTTTCTATTTCTTTTTTATTATATCCCATACTTATTTTTATTATATTTTTAAAAAGCATAATGATAGAATTTAACACCAGTACATATGTAATATTCTTCCCAAACAAATGACTATGAATTAAATCAAGCATGTAATTTAGAGAAATCATAAGGTTGGCAGAGAAACTATCAATATGCCAAATGTGCAAAATCCTACTACATTCATGACCATGTTTCTCATTTAATAGTGCACACATATGTGTAAAAAAATAGCCCCCCAAATATACACAATGCATATTTTCTAAAATACAATATATACTTTGGTATAATGAAACAGTGCAGTGATGCGTGGAATGTTTGTGATTTGTGTGATTTGAGAAAAACAAATATCATCTTTGAGGCAGTTGGAGAATTTGTAATATGTACCAGATACTGAATGATATTAATGATTTATTATCTATTTATTTAAGTATAGTTATGATAAAATTTACTTAAAAATTAATGTTCATCATCAGTAGAAAATAGATACAAAGATATATTGATAACATAACAAAATTTGTCTTAACAAATTTCCAACCAAACAAGCTGTAGTGACAGAAAAGGAAATTTGCAGAAGTCAGAGATGAGAGCGGAGAATGACAGATGGACCTTAATACTTTTCATACTACTCATATATACATATTTCATAAATTCTCAAATTAAAAAAAGCAAAGAAAATGAGAACCAAAATAACTCATCAATTTGTTAGACCAACATATAAAGACGAAGATTAATGTGTTGATAAATTTTAAAAATATGAAATGTAAAGCCTGAGATTTAGCTCAGTAGTGCTGCACCTGCCTAGCCACAGCAATGTGCTGAGTTTAATCCCCAGCACCAGGGAAAGAAAAAGAAAAAGAAAGAAAAAAGTAAAAAAGAAAAAAAGCATATGTGCTTTCTAACATACTCAATAGATTGAAAATGAATTATTTGCTATCTCTTCCTCTTGAATTGTTCCCTTCAAAAGGATGTAGTGGCCTTCTTTGTCTCTTTTAATCAGTTTAGGTTTGAAATTTGCTTTGTCTGTGAATAAGATTGCTACCCCTGCTTTTTTCTGGGCTCCTCTTGCATGAAGAAGTTTTCCGTCCTTTCACTTTCAGTCTATGGGCTTCTTTTTGCACTAGGTGTGTCTTGTATATAACATATTATTGGATTTTGCTTCTTAATCCATTCTGCCAGTCTATTTGTCTTGATTGGTGAGTTGAGGCCATTAATATTGATGTTTATAACTGATATGTACTAACTTATTATTGTCATGTTTTTTTTGCCTTCTCCTTTTAGTTTCTTACCTTGCCTATTTGATTTGCTCTGTTGGGCCTCATTGTGTTGTTACCTTCGTTGTCTTTTTCTAGGATATTGTTTAGAATTCCTTGTAGTGCTGGTTTGGTATTCATGAAGTTTCTTAGGTGTGCTTTGTCATGGAAGTATCTTATTTCCCTATCCATTTAGAAAGAAAGTTTTGCAGGATACATCAGTCTAGGTTGGAGGTTGTTCTCTTTTAGTACTTGAAATGTCTCATTCCAGGCTCTCCTTAAACTAAGGGTTTGTGTTGAAAAGTCTGCTGTGATCCTGATGGGCTTTCCTTTGCATGTGATTTGTTTCTTTTCTCTTATTGCTTGTAGTATTTTGTTCTTCTGTTGGGTTTCTGGGATCTTGATTATTATATGTCTAGGTGTAGATTTTTTTTTGATCGTGGCTAGTTGGAGTCCTATATGCCTCACTTATCTGTATGTCAAATTCTTCCCCCCTATTTGGGAAGTTTTCTATAATTAATTTTGTGAACAGCTTTTTAAAGTCATTTGTATTTTCTCCTGGTACTTCTTGGGTTCCTATCAGTCTTATGTTATTCTTCTTTGCACTGTCTAAGAATTGTTGGATCAATTTCTCGTCATCCCCTAATGTTTTTAAGATACCTCTCTTTTCATGGTCACTGACTGTAATTTTATCTTCTATATCTGAGATTCTATCTTCGGACTCTTTTATTCTGTTGCGAACACTCTCAATGGAGTTTTTAATCTCCTGGATATCTGCTTGAATCTGACCTATGGATTCCATTTCTTTCTTACACTGGACATTTATTGTTTCCAGTTCTTTCTTATGCTGGACTTTCATGGCTTCTATTGTGGTCCTGAGCTCATCTATTTTCCTCTCAGTTTCTGTTCTAGGGACATAAATTATAACTTTCATTTTGCTCATCATCTCTATAATTATTTAGGAAATTACTTCTGTTTTAAATTTCTCTAGAGCCTGATTGATCTGTTTTGCTACTTCCTGTGCTTTGAGTTCAGGGAGTCCTGATGGTTCACTGTC